AATAGAGCTGACTGGACCTTATTTTCTTCATTAGCCTCGCCACCTCAAACTCCTCCGTATCAAATGAATGTCGATAAAGGCTGTCAGACTATCACGAATCCGATCATAGAAGCGGCTAAACTATCAATACCAATGACCTCAGGCTCACCAAGAAGACCGCTTGTCCTCGGGTTTAACGATGTTTGCAAGGAAGCCATTAAAGATCGCCGTAAAGCCTACTAAAAATCCCAGAAATCTATGACCTCTCAAAATTTAATGGAATATAAAGGACAGCGTGCTATATGTAAAAAAAAAAATTAATCAGTATAAAACCGAATCCTGAAAAAAATTTATAAGTTCCATTAATTCCTCAGCCACATCAACTGACGTTTGGAACAAAATCCGTAAATTCACTAAAACTTCATATTCCTCTCGCTATACTATTTTGGTCAATGGACGACTGTCTGACAATCCTCTATCAGTCTCAAACACATTTGCAATGTTTTTTTCTGAAATATATAGATCCGGAAGAAATAATGCAAGCTCGGAATATACGGACCCTGAGAGGACAATTGATGATGAATTATTATGTTACAACCTCCCATTTTCAATGTGGGAACTCAAAAACATATTAAGAACTGCTAAAGGCTCAACCCCTGGTCCTGACCTGGTCCACTATGACATGATAAAGAACCTCCCAGGTAATACACTGGAGTGTTTGCTTGGATATTATAATCATGTCTGGTCCACTGGACAGTTCTCGAATAAATGGCGTGATTCAGTGGTCATTCCAATCCTGAAAAGCGAAAATGATAAACGTTTACCAACCAGCTATCGGCCTATATTTATCACAAGCTGCTTAAGTAAATTAATGGAGCGGATGATTAATAAAAGATTAATGTGGATAATAGATAACAACAATTTAATTCAACCTTTTCAATCGGGATTCCGTAAGGGTCAATGCACATTGGATCGTTTGGTTGCATTAGAAGCCGAAACACAATATACTTTTATCAACGCACAACAGACAATAGCCATATTTTTCGATATGAAAAAAGCTTTTGATAATCATCCGTAGGAATTAGAGGGCAAATGTACAATTATGTTAAACAATTTCTAACGCACCGACGCTTTAGAGTTCAGGTAGGAGGAGAATTATCCGAGAACAACCATCATTTCAACGGTGTCCCTCAAGGTTGTGTCCTGAGCCCAACTCTGTTCTGTCTGGCGATAAATGACTTGGGCCTTAACTTGCCAAGAGGTGTTAAACCGCTTCTATTCGCGGATGATCTAGCCATTCTCTGCCGATCTGGTAACATTGACACTATTCGAAACAAACTACAGGACCCTGTTAATAGAATCAAAACCTGGTCTCTTTCCATTGGTCTCCAATTTTCTTCCACAAAAACTAAGTTCATGCATTTCAGTCGAAAGAGAAACATCCCCAACTCACCCGAAATTTACCTCGGAAATTCTATAATCCCGTACTCGAACCAACATAGATTCTTGGGCATGATCTTTGTTCGAAGACTAACTTGGGAACCACACATTTCTGCCCTAAAGACAGCCACTACCAAAAGAATAACTATCTTGCGATATCTAAGCGGCACTTCCTGGGGCTCAGACAGACTTACGTTAATAAAACTGTATCAAGCTCTGGTATGTTCGAAATTAGACTATGGGTGCTTTATATATGGTTCTGCTCGCTATCGGATCCTAAACAAACTCGATACAGTCCACCATACAGGCATTAGGATAGCAACTGGCTTATTTCGAACAAGTCCCATCCTTAGTCTCTGCTCTGAGGCCGGAATAAACCCTCTTTTATTTAGGAGGAAAAAACTGGCCGTTAACTACATTTCAAGGCAATTTCCCCAAAATAAACATCCCACTCACAACTACATTTTTAAACCTAAATTTTCAAACGCTTTTAGGAACAAAACAAAGTCCACACTCCCATTGTCAGAAAGAATTTATTCAGCAGCTGAATCCCTTAAGAACTTACCTTTATTCAATCCTATTGAATCCTAAAATCTTATCATATTTCCCATTCCCTTCGTGGAGGTGATGGTACCTGGGCAGGTTGTGATGTAGACAAAGCCGAGGAATTTGCCAAGCACCTTTCCTATACCTTTACTCCCCATCTAGAATCTCATCCCACTCACACAGTACAAGTAGAAGAATTCCTTTCTTCACCTATACCACTCTCCATACCACCTAAAGCAGTTAATCCCTATAATAGTTCCATCTATTACGCAAAATCGCTCCTCGTAAATCTCCTGGATATGATCTTCTAACCCCACAGATCCTACGACAACTACCATCCAAAGTCATCATATTTCTGACCAGTTTATATACAATTGTATCCTGCGAACTACCCACATCCCCATCTTATGGAAACATTCCTCCATCATCCTTTTCTCGAAACCAGGCAAGCCTCCCAATAATACATCATCCTATAGACCAATTAGCCTACTCCCAATTCTTTCAAAAAATTTTGAAAAGATCCTACTGAAAAGAATCCTACCCATAATAGATTCCCGAAAAATCCCTACCTATAAATGCGGATTCCATTCCCAACATTCTACCGTCCAACAAGGACTCCGAGTTGTTGACCACATATCCTCAGCCCTAGAAAACAAGCAGTTTTGCTCGAGTTCATTTCTGGACATAGCGCAAGCTTTTGAATGGTTATGGCACGCCGGACTGCTCTTCAAGCTCGAATCCCATCTACCACAGTTCTTATATCTAATACTCCAATCCGCCATCTCCGACCGCTCCTTTCGAGTTCGCTGTGGTATAGAATTTTCCGACTGTTACTCAATTGAGGCTGAAGTTCCTCAAGGCAGCGTCTTGGGTCCCATCCTTTACATCATCTATACCGCTGACATCCCGGTCCTTCCCGATACACTCCTGGAAACTTTCGCTGATGACACTGCTATCCTATTTTCTAACTCAGATCCTGAAACAGCGTCAATAAACCTGCAACGGCTCTTATCCTTGATTGAACACTGGTGCAAGAAATGGCGCATCAAAGTCAATGAACCCAAATGTAAACATATAACCTTCACCCTTCCTGTCCACCAGTTTACTTTAATTCCATCTCGCTTCCCTTCTCTGACACAGTCCGGTACCTTGGTTTTCTCCTAGAAAGACGACTAACGTGGAATCCGCATACTAGACTGAAAAAACAGGAACTTAACCGACGTTATGGCCGGCTATGTAGACTACTTAATAGAAAATCTAAACTTTCTATTGAAAACAAACTACTGATCTACAAGACAATACTAAAATCCATCTGGACCTACGGACTAGAACTGTGGGGGGACAACTAAATTTTCTAACATCAAACGTATTCAATCCTTCCAGTCCAAAGTCCTCCGTACAAATGTCGATGCTCCCTTCTATGTCACCAATAAAACCCTTCATAATAACCTTAATATTCCATTTATTCTTGATCTTATCCCAGACAAATTCTCCAAATTTCATTAGAACCTTACTCATCACCCTAATCCCGTAGCACAATCCCTTTCTAGCACCACTCGTCCCTACATTCCTCCTCGCAGGTTAAAACGGCAGTGGCCCCGTGATCTTTTGTAACATGTATATATTGGAGTCCTAGCAATGGCCAGATTCTCCACTCAAGTCGTGAGTGTCTGTGGTTGTAGCTCCCTTTCTCAGTCTCCGCTGGCTTTTAATAGCAGTGAAGTGGTTGAGGAAGAAGCGCAAGGATCTCCTTAAGCCTCGCTTTCCCTTCACATGTGGGGGGACAAGTATGGTTCGGAGTACCCATGGCCGACTGTAAATAGTGTAAATAGGTGTGCCTGCTTCTAAGATTTTTTTTTTCATTACTTTTTTTTAAAGATAATTTTAATTCTATTTTATTCATTTATTTTTATTCTATTATTACTATTATTTATATTTTCTTCTTTCACTATGATATTTTATTTTGTTCTTATTTAGCTTTCTTATTATTTTAAAATTACCTTATTAATTTATCTTTTTTTTTAATTTGTAAATATGGTGTGAATGTGCTCTCAGAACTCTATTATAAATGTCCTTTATTGAGACAGATTGTAATATTAATCAATAAACAAATAAAAAAAATTATTAAATTGAATTCAATGAAATTCAGATTAGGAAATACTATTCTTCAAATATCCTCCAAGTTCGGGACAAATTGAACCCGCAGTTTTCTAACCACAGGCATGCCAAATAATACATTTGCTGATCCGAAAGTGAACGTATTTTTTCTGGGGGAAGTGGATTGAATTTTATGAAATTCATACCTACTTGATTATCTGTTTACCGATCCCTCCAAATTTAAGCCAAATCGGACATGCGGTTTCAGAAATATAGACGTATTAAGGAAAACACGTTGACACATATAAACGAGAAATTAGTTGACAGAATGCAATAAAATTGATAGTAAATTATTTTGTCTCCATTACCTACCTTTTATCTAACGTTGAGCCAAATCGAACGTACCCTTTCTGAAATATTGGGATATATAAAAAAATACGTTTGCGCGTGCGCTAGCGGAAGTGATGGATAGAATTTAATAAATTGATATGGGACCATCTAGGCACCAATCCGCATAATCCCTAAAAATATTATGTCTGATGAATGAAAATCTGATGAACGGTACTAGGTGATGCCCGTCTCATCGATTTGACTACAGACAGTCAGACACAGAACCAAATTGGATCCTTGATGTCTGAATTATAAAACGTGATTGGAAATTTTTGATTCTGAGCACAAACATTTTTTTAACCTCTCGCACGAACACAATGCTTCCCATATCTTCGGTAGTGAGGAAGCAAAATAAAAACCTTGCCATGAACAGTTCCTTAACTTTCCGTATTAATTGTAAAAACGTTTCTCGCGTTGGTTTTTGAGAAGTTTTTCTGTTTTGTAAATATTTCAAAAAGACATTTATTACTAACATTATAGCACGTAAGCGTATCTTAAAATCTCTATAAATAAATTATATATTATAAGGAAATATTAATTATAATGACCTTCTTCGACCTGAACACAGTTTTCTAAAGCAGTTCTTATAATCTCTTTCAGCCATTTGGATATTATAGATGACGCCAATATAGTCATCGCTCTATCTATGTTCACTGTACCATCTTCTAACAACTGTAATTTTACTTATCAAATTTCAATGTTAATCTATTTAGAAAAAATATTTACCAGAGTATTATCGTACTTTTTTTTTTGTCATTAACATGTATTTCTTTTAAAAATACATGTTTGTATTTAATTTAGTTTAGTATTATATAATATATTCGATTTACTTACCGCCCCAGACTCCTTCATAACACAATGATAAATGCACTAGAATAAAATGAAAATTAATATTTGTCGGTTGGACCTACTCAATATTCTTCTGTTAGTTTTGTCTTACTTGGCGTCGTTTTATGGCCAGTTTCATTTGTTCGTAGGAAAGCTGAGTATCTATTGAATCCACTGGAAAAAAATAAATATTAGTATATTGTATCGTTGGCACCCTGTTAACGTAACGAGTCTGATTCTGTTTAACGTTGCACATTCGTTATTCTAACCTGGTGCCGACGATATTACTAGCTGTAATCGGCTATGTGCTGCAGAGTTTCTGTTTGGTTTAGTGTAAAATAAAGAAAAGAGAAAAGCAGAGGTTTCTTATGTTTCATTGCACAATACTTTGATGACATAGACTAAAATAGCAAAGTTTCGTTATTTCAAATTCCTAAATATTCCAAAATTCTTCGCCGCTTGATTTGAAGTTTTGACACAACTTGGATTCGAATACGCTAGTTTTTATGTGAGTTCTGCGACTGCGCTAGGTTACCATATACTACCGTCTATACTACCATATACTTATATGTTTGTTTTTTGTTAGGAAATTGGTGTTATCTTTTGATAAAATTGTTACTGTATGCTAATTAAACACCTGGACCATAATATATACTAATGCCACAGTGAGTACTGTTATTATTTATTGTTTACAGTTGTGCGAAGTGAAGCTGGTCTACAGAGGACTGTCCTTATTTCGCAGCCATAAGTACCTAGCCTAACGTAGTCAATTAGCCTGGAGCCTTCACTTGGGAACAAAATCATTGGGCCTTCACTCTGATACAAAACGAAGGTCGCGCAGCGTGTTTTTATTTTATTTTTTATTTCATTTTTTCTTCCTTCACTTTCTTCTGACATGTTATGGGATTTTATCACCAAATCATGTCTTCTAAAGGTGCAACAACAAGGTCTCTCTCTGTAAGATGTACACCACGTTCGTCACCTGCGAAAAAAAAAAAAAACTCGTCGATCGAATAGAAGGACGCCACCTGCAACTCCACCTACAGCAACAGGCAATATTGAACCTCAAACGGGCACATCTCAGGATACGCGGGAAGAATCTCCCTTTTTCACTCCAAATCCTTACGATGTACTTAAAAATGAAAAAGAAGTAATGGAATCTGCATCCATTCCCAGAGACCTCCTCCAATTTTCGTTAAAAATCTACAAAAATTCTCTTTACTATGCACTCAGTTAAACAAAATCACACTTCCTGGTAGCTACTCCTGCTTAAGCTGCTCTAGCGATATTAACATATCCCCTGGCACAGCTGATGCATACCGCCAAATACTTAAATATTTATCACACACAAAGGCAGATTTTCACACCTACCAATTCAGGCAAGAGCGTTCCCTGAGGGTAGTAATCCGAAATTTACATCCCTCTACCCCAGTGGAGGCGATCGGAGAAGAATGGACGGCCCTAGGTTTCAAAGTCCGACAGGTCACCAATGTTATGAAGGATGACAGAGACGTTTCTGGAGTAAATAATAGAAAGAAAGCATTACTTCTATTTTTCATCGATTTAGAACCCTCAGCAGGAGTCCAAAAAATATATAAAATCAACAGATTATATTATACAAGTGTCAAGGTTGAAAAAACATACACTAAAAAAGAAATCATCCGGTGCCACAATAGCCAGGCATATGGACACACCAAAACATACTGCCACTACATCCCAAGATGCGTCAAATGTGGAGAGTCACACGAAACTGGTGAGTGCAAGAAATTGAAAACTACTCCTGCAGTATGTGCTTTATGCCTGGAAGGACATCCTGCGAGCTACAAGGGCTGCCAGGTGTATACCAGACATCCCACCGACAGCAGCTCCTATAATTATCTCCGTAAACAACTAAAGCAAGAATTATCCAACTTAAAATCCCAATCCTTTAACATCTGAGGTCAAATATCATTTACAAAAACTATCTTCCCGCAAATCTCCTGGATACGACCTTCTAACCCCACAGATCTTTTACCAACTACCACCCAAAGCAATCATGTTCTTCACATACATATACAACTGCATCTTAAGAACTACCCATTTTCCTCTCCTATGAAAACATTCCACCATCGTCCTTTTCTTGAAACCTGGCAAACCTTCTAATAATACATCATCATATAGACCAATTAGCCTACTTCCAATCCTTTCAAAAATTTTTGAAGAGAATCCTACCCTTAATAGAATCCCAAAACCTTCCTACCCACCAATTCGGATTTCGCTTCCAACATTCCACTTTCCAACAAAGACTCCGACTTGTTGACTACATATCCTCAGCCCTAGAAAGCGTATTTTTCGGGAGCATTCCTGGACATCGCTCAAGCTTTTGACCGGGTATGGCATGCCGGACTGCTCTTCAAGCTAAAATCCCATCTACCCCATTCCGTATATCTTATCCTCCGATCCTACTTCTCTGACCGCTCCTTTTAAGTTCGCTGTGGTGCAGAATCCTCTAACTATCATTCAATTAAGGCGGGAGTTTTTTATTATTGAAATATTAATTGTATCGAAATCTTAGTTATTATTTATATGTGCATATTGCGTGAATGAATCATGTAGCCTTAATATTAATGCCCTTTAATGTGGCAGAATGTATTAATATTCAATAAGAAAATAAAATTAAAAAAAATTGTAAAAACACAGGTCAACTATACAATCAAAGTACAAAATGTAATTAAAAAGTATGCTCTGCAATGAAAGGGGCACTTATCCCACGTAAGTAAAAACTTTTTTTTTTGTTATTACTTCTTTATTGAATATTAATACATTCTACCACATTAAAGGGCATTAATATTATGGCTACATGATTCATTCACGCAATATGTACATACAATTAATATTTCAATAATAAAGAAAACGAAATATAGAAAAATAAAATAAGTATATTGATATGCCTGTGTACAAGAAAATGAAATAATAGATAAAAGCTAAATGAAATTAAAATAAAGAAAACACATGCACACCTATGTACAATATTTAAATTCCAAGGGACTCTGAGTCATGCCTTATTCCCCGATGTAGAAGCCAAGAGAGGACTCCAGGATGTCCCAGTGCTTCTCTCTCAGCCGCGTCACTGTTATTTGAATTACCAGTTATGTTATTTGAGTTACCAGTGGAAACTGATGGAAGGAACTACAGCAACAGGCGCTCATGTCTTGTGTGGAGAATCTGGCTATTGCCAGAACTCCCATATATAAACATTAACAGAAGGTCGCGTGGCCACTGCCGTTTTACTCTCCGGGGAGGATTGTAGGGATGGCTGGAGCTAGATAGGGATTATGCTGCAGGATTTGGAATATGAGTGAGGTTCTTGTGAAATTCGGAAAATGTGTCTGGGATTAGTTCAAGAACAAATTCGATATGAAGGTCATTATGGAGAGTTTTATTGGATACATAGAAGAGAGCATCGACTATTGATCGGAGAATTTTAGACTGGAAGGATTGAATGCGTTTGTTGTAGGAGGTTTTGCTGTTCCCCACAGTTCTATTCCTTATTTCCAAATAGGTTTCAGGATTGTCTTATAGATTAGTAGTTTTTCATCGACTTAAAGTTGAGAGTTTCTATTCAATAGTCTATATAGCTGTCCGTATCGTCTGTTAAGTCTGGTGCATGGGTTCTATACATTAGGAGGGATAGGGTGTTGGAGTTGGGATTGGGGTTCCTGTTGCGGCAGGGCCTCACATTTATCAGACCCTAGTAACTTTGAATAAGATACTGTAGAGTCTACTATTTTAGCAGGCCCTCTTCTGTGTTTAGAAGTTTCTTCTGGGTACCGAGGTTTACGAAATTTACTTTTGATGTTTTTATACACCTGGTAGCCCTTGTAGTTCGCAGGATGTCCTTCCAGGCATAAAGCACATACTGCAGGAGTAGTTTTCAATTTCTTGCACTCACTAGTTTCGTGTGACTCTCCGCATTTTACGCATCTTGGGATGTGGTGGCGGTATGTTTTGGTGTGTCCATATGCCTGGCAATTTTGGCACCGGATGATTTCTCTTTTAGTGTATGGTTTTTCAACCTTGGCACTTGCATAATATAATCTGTTGATTTCATATATTTTTTGGACTCTTGCTGAGGGTTCTAAATCGATGAAACATAGAGGTAATGCTATCTTTCTATTATTTACTCCAGACACGTCTACGCAATTAGACAACGGAATATTTATTAATATAATTTATATATTTAACTATAAGCATATAATAGGGCGTGAGTAAAGTACTAAGAGTGGCGTAGCTCAGCTATTTGAGTAAAATACTCAGATTCGGGCAAACTGAATATCTGATTACCGTAATCAGAATCGGGAGGTCAATATTTGAGTAAAATACTCGGGATTCAGTACTCACTTTGGCATTTGCACGCCTCTGGTTGTAATTGAAAAACCAAAGGAATACGAGGGCACCCGAGTTTGAGGGAAGATAAAAGTACGCTTCCATACATAACATGGAATAATATATGGCTTAATATAATAAGGACTCCGACAATATTATGTAAATATACATATGCTGTTTTCATAAATGCTATCGTTGGTATTATTTAATATTTAATTGTATTGTACATATTACAGCGAAATAAATATTAAAATTTGTATATATAAGGGTACTTATAAAAATAAAAATACTCACAATGAAATATTAATCAATATAGCTTTTATAATTTTTGCTTTCACTTCCCTTTGTCTGAAAATACTTATTTCTGCTAAGGAAAGGGTGGTATGTGGAAGATGTGTGATGTACTAATTTGACTAGCTATTATTTTTCAATTTGCTAAAATATGTACATATTTATATTTACCATTTATTTTCGATATTGGATGTTTTTTTTCCTCTTGTTCATCACATCTCCTCATTAAGTCCACTACATCCTTAAATTTCTGATGTTCTTCTCTCCCATCAAAATATTTGACCGACGGGTCGCCGCAACAGTGCTAGAAAAAAGTACTTGGGCATTGTAAGTGTATTACACGGTGGGCCAGACCGCTCTACCGTGCACCTCCCCCCCCCCCCTTCCCACATCCCTATAAATCGCAAATCTTTGTGTTCCTTGTAACTATTTATTAAAGAATAGTCAATGTTCCCACAAAAAGAAGTGAACGAACTGCCCCAAAATGGCGTCCAAAGATGGCCGACTGACGACTTTGATTTTAGTTATTTTATTGGTCATTGTTAATCAGCATTTGGCTTAATTTTTTCATAGTTGGTTTTTTATTAAAGCTGGATAGTCAGAGAATAATAAAACACCAAAAAATAATAAAAAATAATTGGGTTAGGCATTAAATAATACCAGTGAAGTAGCATCTTGAAATATTCTGTTCATCTGTCTACTATACATTCGTTTAGCTATATAATGGATAGTGAGTGCTCCTTGTTTTCTTTTCCAAGATTTTGGCACTTCCTTTCTCGTTTGCTTAATGTATTTCTCCAATTTTCCTGTTCAATTTCTCGTTTTTCCTACCTAGAAGAACTTATAGCTTCGCCCTTTTGTTTGTGCTGAGAGAATAATTCATTCAATATTAAAATTTCCTAATTTTTATCATATGGTCCAACTTCCGAACAAAATAAAAGAAATAAAAATTCATTTGTTCATTAGTGATATATGAGTTTTACTAAACAACTCATCAACTATTCATTATATGTAGTTCAGACTAGATATATACTATTTTAGTTTATAAAACAAGTATCAATATGTCTCATTTCCGAGAAAGTATATACAATTTAAATTACCTCTAAGAATCATAAAATATACAAAACAAAGTATTGAATTGAAAACATTAAATAAAATCAAGATATTCAGCAATGTATATTTGAATTAAGTCTATTATTATCATTATATCATTATTACAATGGAGGCCTTCTTAAATGCAGAATAAAGAAAATTATATTAAAATACAGAATAAAGGAAATTATATTTAAAAAATAAAATAATAAATTAAAATTAAAAAAAAAATGTTTTGGACAGTTAAATTCTTGCATTAATATTTGTTCGTTAATACAATCAATTTAATGTACAAAAACGTTATTATATCACTATGACTAAGCCATTTATGAGTACTGAATGGTGTAGTAGAGGCCTGTAGGCATCCACGCCAGTGGTTTCTGCCGCTTATGTGCATTTTCTAGGGAACCGCTTCAAATATTTTAAAAAGTAATCAGTGTTTTAGAAAGAAAAATATATTCTCCAGATATTATATTTCAGCACGTTTTGGGTTATTGTTGGCCGTTTAAATACAAACGACGCTTGAATTTCAACTTGTAAATTTTGTTGTTAAATAAATTGACTACTGGTATTTTTTATTGCCTAACCCAATTATTTTTTAATATTTTTTGATGTTTTATTATTCTCTGACTATCCAGATTTAATAAAAGACCAACGATGAAGAAATTAAGCCAAATGCTGATTCACAATGACCATAACACTAACAAAAGTCAAAGTCGTCAGTCGGCCATCTTTGGACGCCATTTTGGGGCAGTTCATTCCTTTTTTTTTGTGGTAACATTGGCTTTTCTTTAATAAATAGTTACAAGGAACACAACGATATGCGATTTATAGGGATGTTGGAGAGGAGTGCACGGTAGTGAGGTCTGTCCCACAGACTATATGTTTTAGTAATGTTATGCCATGAAAGCTTTTCGAGTACCTTAATATCGGTGTATCCTTCATTGATTAGTTCCTCTTCAGTTAAGTATGATTCGTTTTTTAAGGATCTCTTTGAAATAGTTTTATAGTCCTGTAACATATCTGCTAGATTCAATACACCTTTCTCGGGTAATTCATCTGAAAATATCCACTTATTACAGTTGTTATTTAGGACTTTAAGTCCCGAGCTCATCGACGCCTATATTTTCTTCATTTATATAATCATAAGAGTAAATTATTTCTTTTAAATATATAAAAAAACAAAAAATGTTCAGCAAATCGTTGGATTTTAGAAAATTTATCACAGATCTTATTTTACCTTCTTCATTATTTAAAACTACTGACAATTGTGGTGTGAGCCTTTATTTTGTTTGAATTAATAAGTAATAAGGACACTCTTGTAGAATTTCGCTGACTGAGAGAATACTGTAGAGTATTGATATTTTGGTACAAGTTTTTTTTCTTATCAGATAAGAATAGGTTAGAGCTGTATGTTCTATCTTTAGTCTTGTTAAGGCAACTTCGTTTCTACGAATAGGGTGATTCGAGGTGGGCCATAGTTTTACTGTTTTTTTTTTCCTTTAATTTGCTCAATGACATGGATTGCCAGCTAGGATTTATTATCTTTTAGTGGGGAAGGCTTTTGCCATGTCGTGTTAATATGGCAGCGCCCCGACCTAGGAGAGTGAGTGCTATCTTAGCCGCAGTGTCCTGCAGTTCTTTTTCTGTGATCCCCACGTGGCCCGTCACCTAAATAAAATATGCAGAATTATTCAAAATTTCTAGCATGTTTAAATAAGCATGGATTTTTAAAATAGTCGGATGTCTCTGATATATATTATTAATACATTTCAAATAACTCAATGAGTCTGTTATTATTAATTACTATTGTTTTGAGAGTTATCGACATGGAGAAATGGAGAGCTGAGGCTATTGTGTGAAGTTGGGCTGTATATATACTGCCTATACTGTATAATTTATGTATTTTTATTTTTTGGGTGGGATCGCAATTAATAAAAGAAGATGCTGTGGATTCTTCGGATTTGGTCTATTGGTATAGATTAAAAACAGTTTAACAGTACATAAATTATATAGTTCTGCAGTATATATACAGCCCAACTTCACACAATAGCCTCAGCTCTCCAATTCTCCATGTCGATAACTCTCAAAACAATAGTAATTAATAATAACAGACTCATTGAATTATTTGAAATAAATAAATAAAAAGGCTTAGCGAACCCGAAGGATCGATGCCGACACCACCAATCGCATATTGCACACCTCCCTCCATCGTTCGCCGTCCAAACCCAGTCCCTTCAGATCGGCTTTAATGCAATCTTCCCACCTTCGCTTCGATCTACCCCTCGGACGCTTACCATTCGGCACAGCAAATATTAGCCTTTTAGGAATTCTCTCGTTACTAAGTCCAATAACTTTACAAGCCCATTTGATTCGCCGCGATGAAATTATATCAATTATATTACTCGGATACAGTTCACGCAATTCGGCGTTGTGTAACCGTCTGAACTCTCCAGTTAACTCATCCTTCTTCGGTCCGAATATTCTACGCAATACTTTATTTTCAAAAACCTTAAGACGCTGCTCATCTCTTAATGTAAGCGGCCAAGTTTTGCACCCATAAAGAACTGTAGGCAAGATAATTGTTTTATAGATTCTAATTTTTAAGTTTCGGGACAAGAGGCGCGAACTAAGTAATTTTGTCACAGACAAATAACAAGCATTTCCTGCCTTCAGGCTAACCTTAATTTCTTCTTCAATTTCGTTTTTTCTAGTTATCGTAGAACCTAGATACCTAAACTTATCTACCTGTTCAAACATATTACCATCTATATCGATATCACCAGTAGTATCGCCATTTTTGCAGCTAACCATATATTTTGTTTTATCCACGTTTATTTCGAGTCCTAGTTCTTTACCGGCTTTCGTTAACGTTGTCGTATTTAGTTTTATAGTTTCAAGGTCTTCGCTTAACAGTACCATATCATCCGCATAGCCCAGCACGGATGTTGTCCCACCCAGATCCAACCCTTTCTCGGTACGCATTATCTCCCTAATGGCATGTTATAATGCCAAATTGAACAGGACAGGCGAAAGGGAATCCCCCTGTTTTAAACCCGAACGAACCTCAAAATTTTCGGACAGATTATTACCGATTCTAACTTTATTGAGTGTATCCGTCAAGCACATCCTGACTAGATCTACTAATTTTTTAGGAATCCCCTGCTCGATTAGAATATTATACAGTTTCTGGCGGTCAATAGAATCGTAAGCCTTTTTAGAATCTATATACAGCTGGTGAACAATACCGTTGTACTCCAATTTTTTCTCTAATATTTGCCGTGAGAAAATATTTTATCAATAGTCGAACGATTCCGTCTAAATCCGCATTGATAGTCTCCGATAATTTCCTCGGCGTATTCCGTGATTCGACTGGTTAAGATTAAAGTAAATATTTTATAACATACCGGAAGGAGTGAAATTCCTCAATAGTTATTACAATCCGTCCTCGGGCCCTTTTTGTGAATCGGAATAAGAATAGGTTCTTTCCATTCTTCAGGTAATTTCTCATTCACTCAGATCTTTTTAACCAACCGATGTATTTTAGAAACTCCAGCTTCCCCGCATGCCTTAATTAGTTCAGTGGGAATATTGTCGGTTCCCGCTGCTTTATAAGATTTTAATTTTCCGATAGCTAATTCAACTTCCTCTTTACTCGGTCCTTCTATCAACGGTTCAGCACTCTGGTACTCAGAAGGAGGACACATTAATAAGATCATAATTTCCCGTATTTAAAATATTGTCAAAGTGGTCCTTAAATTTATTCAATATGTCAACCGGATCGGTCAGAATATTGTTATTATCGTCCCTAATTCCAGATGTTACGGATCCTACACATTTACGTGTCTGTTTATACCTTTGTACATGTCTCTTACGTTATTTTCGATTCTATTAGTTTCTATTTCACTTATTTTATTTTTAAGATACTCCCTTTTTTTATTTTTGAGCAATTTTGTCGTTTCGTTCTTTGAGGTTCGGAAGTATTCCAGATTGTCTTCGCTAGGATTATTTAGAGCTTTTAATTTAGCGGCTTTTCGTTTTTCGCACATGTTTAAGCAATCTTCATCAAACCACGGTTTGTTATTCTTATTTTCCTTTTTTCCTAGACACTAGTTACCGACCGCTTTAATATTATCCCTGATCTCTACCCATAACTTGTCAATATCCTCGTGGTCCTCGTCAGGAAGCTCTAAAGCTTCAAACCTATTCTTAACATCTAGCTCGAATTGGGTTCTAATTGATGGATTTTTTAATTTGTCCAGATTAAAATTCTCAAAATCGAAACGGTCTTCTTTTTATATTAAGCTTTTGTCGAAGTTTCGCGATTACTAATTCATGATCCGACCCACATTCTGCTCCGCGATAAGACCGTACATTAATTATACTGCTTTGCCAGCTATGTTGTATCAAGATATGTTGCGAATCCGGTGATGTCCAAGTATATTTATGAATATCCTTATGTTTAAACCTCGTACTTTTAATTATTAGGTTTTTCGCAGGCAAGCTTTCTTTACCAATCATCGGAATATAAACTTCTTCCCTTCCTACCTTTGCGTTCGCGTCACCTATAATTATTTTCATGTAGTTTCGCGGTAGTTTATCATAAACCCATTCGAGTTTATCGTAAAATTCACTTTTGACTTCATCGTCACTGTCTTCGGTCGGACAATGTATGTTTATTAATGCGATTTTAAACCAACGTCCCTGAAATGTAGCTACCGAAATTCTATCACTAAAGAATTGTACGTCTCTCAAAGCGGATAGTAATCTACTCCTAATTAGAAACCCGGTACCCAAACAATGATTCCCGCTTCCTCCGTACCAAATAGTGTACTTTCCTTCCCTCATCGAGCCCTCCCCTGGCCAGCGAACCTCTTGTAGAGCCACGACATCCAAATTGTACCCATTCACCTCATTCGCGACCGATTTTAGTCCCCCTGCTGTGTTTAAACTCCTTACGTTCCACGTACCAATATTTAAATCCCTATATTTCAACTTGCGCCATGAATCCCCTAAAGCAGTCCCCACCCGGAGACCCGAACGGGGGACTTGTTTACTTCCGGATAATGAGAGTTATTTGAAATAATTTTATTTATTATTTATTATAATTATTTATTATTTATTAGTTGTATCTATTAATTAGGTGATAACAATTGTATGCCCCAAGTTTTGACACTTAGTGCATTGTACTATTAGAGGCTTCTGTTTCGGTTCCTCAAAACGGGCTATTGAGTAAAATAATCGCTGAACCTAGAATATTTCAGCATTGCTTTTTGCTGGTTCCAAGTCTATGAAAAATAAAGGTAGCGGATAGCTTTCCCTAGGATGTAGCACAGGTGCTATGTGCCTGACATTATGACCGATTCCTTCGATGCCCGATGAGTGTTGTTGAATGTAGTCCTCTCAGGACCACTCGATACGCCTTTTCTTGTTTTAATTGGTAACAATGGAAGTCGTAATTATTGATTGTTAAAAAGTTGATCAGTTTTTTATAATTGTCTCTTGAATGAGTGTCGATTTTAATGGCTTTCACTCTCTAGTAACAACGAAAATTTGGCTGTCCGATCAAATTTGCAATTTGTTGACCGAATGACATAAAGTTCTTAAGTTTTGAAACAAATATTAGTGACGGCTCAGGATCAGAAAAATCTTGAAGCTGCGGAGTCTTGTGAGATACGTTGTTTTCTAGATTAGAATTTTTGCTTTCTGATGTGTTTGGTGCAGTTGGCTCTGAATGAGTGGCATTAGATTTGTTCTAGGTGGAGATTTATCTTGATCTGCATGGTTATTTGATTTATTATTTTTTTCTTTTATTAGGTGAGTTTTGTCACGATCCGGGAACTGAGTTTCGGAGACGCTTTTGGAGTGTACATCTTTTCAAATATTGCGAGTCGGTCCCGCTGATTTCTGAAAAGGATGTCTCGTCTAGACCTGGGCAGAATTTATTTGAAAAATATACTCGGAATAAATCCCTAAACCTCGATTGTTATTTCCGAAATAATTTATTTCATGAAATAACCTGACCATTATTTCCGAAATAATTATTCCGGGAATAAATT